GTAGATCTGGGGCAATTCCCGTTGATAGGTATTAGCTCTTCCCCGCAATGATTCTCGGGTAATTATCATAACCTAGGAAGCAGGAAGAGGGACAATAACAGAAAAGATAGGGATGACGGTGATGAACAGTAACTAGTACTTAGTAGGTTGACAGTTGACTCGATTAAGGCTAAAGAATGAAAATCCATTGCAAGATTCAAGTACGATGACTCGATGACATCGGAAATAAACCGGACAGGTCCAATCGTTGGACAACGGATGGAAGGAAGCGAGATACTTTAACCTACGAGTTAAACAAATATTGTACAATGGCGATGTGCACAAATTGGGGTTAGCCCAACCAGATCTATGATTCTCTAACCCTGTTTCACGGCACAATGGCTATAGACAATAGTAAAATCGGTGTTCACAGCCATCATGATGAAGTTATCAATTGAGGTTGAAGTGGGATCTGAGGCGGAGATAATGGCACGGCCAACCATATTATATTATAACGACCAACCATGACGACCGCGTCGCATCCTCATCACGTGCACCTCATGAGCATCTGAGTATTAGTCCTATTCTCGCGAACAGAACTGGAACAAGTTTCATTTCCCGTTCATGCTGTTGATTGCAAACCCAAACCACTGTATTTTTCCGTCCATTACATCAGTATATAATCTCCAAGGGGGTTATTGCCATCTATGAATCCCTGCCGACTGCATCTGGTAATGTCGATGCGACAGACGCAGATAGTATACCATTTACATTCCACCCCTTTTCCGCTGTGGATGTCTCTGGTCTAGGAGCAACGCTGGAAAAGCGTGCGTTGGGTTTCAGTATCTGTGGTATTCACGCACACGGGCCGACAATGAGTCTAATTAGTTTATTCTCTGTATTGTATTAGTGGCCTATCTTGGCTTGTTTAGCATCTTCCCATGATGCCATCACCATCCATTAAACCCTTTCAGCACTCTACGTGCTTTCCGAACTTTCAGCATGCTTCTCCCCTTCCATGTGCATAGCGCCAGGTTTCTCATCGTGATGGTCTTCAATGATGTTCCCATGAATGTCAATTTCGCGCCGATATACCGCGACATCGTCTGTGTCGCCAAAGA